ATATATATATATATATATATATATATATATATATATATATATATATATATATATATATATTATATCGTAACGTGCGTAAACAACGATAATTAATTAAAATATCATGTTTATAATAATAAACATAATTTAACACACATTTTTTTGATCCAACGATACATCATACGTTTCTTATATGTATGAATATTGATACACGCATCAACACGATATGGGGACCTTAACGACCCAGAGAGTCCGATTAAAAAGATCAAGACCTAGATTTATTTCAAGATTTTCAATTTATATATTTATTCCGCTTTGTGAAAAAATAAATTACGATAACTCCGTCCGTTATCCGTATATAATTGACAAATAGGAAAGGAACTCTTCACTCAACCATCAAATTTTTTGACAAATTTTGAATTAACTTTTTTGTTTAATTCTTCTTATCAAAAAAATTATCATCTCTTTTGCATTTCAATCCGTTTTATGGTCTCCATAACAAGACTTTTCGTTTATAAGATCGTCTATCCATTAGTCTCTCAATTAAATTCATCGACGGTGAAATTATCAATGCAAGATGAAGACATTAATCATATAAAATCTAATAATCGGAAGAGAACGGGAACGGGTTTCGCAACGTTTTCGCAACGTATCAACGTGCATCGCTCTGCATAAAAAGGGCCTCCCGATGCGAAACTCATCTCGCTTTCGTTGTTAGGTAACAAACGACAGTCGCCAGAAATATGTGATCGCGATCCATCAATATTCCGGCGCCGCGACGTCATTTTTATCGCGTCGATAGGGAAACTCATTTAAATGCCGAGTCCGCCTACGTAACGCAAGGGGAATCGTCGCCGTCATCGTCGCTGTCGATCGTTAACTATCCTCTGTAATGATTTAATTAGCGTACCTTTCCGTGGAGAGCTGATGTGTTCGCCAAGGCCCGATCGCGCCGTATCCGCGCCAGGACCCGGCCCGTGTTTTTCAATCCAATTATCGGTATTACGGCGCGATCAAAATTATCTGTTGTCGAATTAATGCGCGTGTCCCGCTTTTCGGAGAATGCGACGGGACGCGGGGCCGGGGACGGGAGCGAGTTTTAATGAGCGATTAACCCGGCGTTACGCAACGAAATTAATTATCTGCCGATAAATGCCTTCCACGAAGGGTGTATTAACGATCGCGATAAACCCGCGTGGCAGAAAACACGCGACGGTACAGATTGCAGATTATTTCGTGCCGCTAAACATGCCAAGTTATGCCGATGCATCGTCGCTTTATAATAACGCTTAACGAAAACGTGCTCAAAATGCGAAAATAGATAAAGTAAAACGTCTCACATTTTTTTTGCGAAAAAAAGCGAAATAAAGAAATTAGCTATGTATTTTAATATCATTAATACGAGAAGAGAAATAAGCGGTTTTCTTCCCTCACACAGTAAAAACTGTGCCTTGTTAAGCTTTTAAATTTATCATTAAGAACGACTTCTCCTTCTAAAACTAATTATAAGTCATATTGATGACTGTATTAGCATAAAATTTGAAAAACAATTTCGAAAGGCACATATATAATTACGTCGTTATTAACATAGAGTAGCGAAGTAGAAATTTTCATTCGAGCGAAATCACGTTTCGTGTAAATATATTGCGTAACAATAATGTTGCCAGCTGTTATGGAAGGAGCGATAATCCCGTGTCACAAAAATCACAAGTGTTAATTAGACGATCAATATGAAATATCAAAGCATTAAATTGCGTAATTAGCCTTTCAGATTCGGAACAAATCATGTAGCACAATAAACACG